ACGCTATAGTCAGGAAAGACCAAACACCGCTAGAAATATACCTAGCTCTTAAAGAAAAGCCTCCAAGTGTGGTAACTCACTATCCACCAAGTCACTGAGTGGACAGTGAAGTAGACGTTGACAGAACACCGTTAGTATCCCTGAGAGATCCTCCACTTACTAAAACCTTTACCCTTGCGGCTCATACACTGAACAGCACTACACCTACTAAATCGCCGAATAAAATGAAACAACCCCAGGAACTAAACCTCACCGAGATAACAGCCGAAACCAACCCTATCTCGGCTGCTCCATCTATGAGTAACGTGCGCATAAAAGATGCTGTGTGTACTATACTTGTAACCCCTACAGTGCAGAACAATAGAGCGAAATTCTCAATTAAGGCTGTGAGAAACAAGGGAACATACCACAGTCATTTTAAACATAAATGCACCACACCCCCCCAATCAAAGTGGGCACTATAAATCATGGAATGACTCTCCATCAACACGACATGATAACATCTAACACCCAACATTTCTGCCACAACATAGTCCAGAGCGTCGGTATGACTTGCTAAATCATTCCCGAAGTAAACAATTTCGTAAGTCAACTAGTGACACTAAACCTGGCTGTAGGATCAATGGTAGAAACTCGGCTGAACACCCTCACATAGCACAGTTGTCTTTGAACCCAAGCTAGCAGCACATTAACACAAGTGGAACTGCAGCCAGTGACCGAAATTCGGAAACTCCTAAGGTTTTGCCTAGTTCGCACAAGAGCATCGCTCAACTGCTCGCACAATAATTGACCTATGTCCAGCCGCCATTCCCTCTCATGGAAATCCCTCAAAATCCTTTTGAGAACACCATATCCCCCAACCTTACCCCCACCACTGGGATTTCCATCACTAGGCCCGTGAATCAACAGATGATCTCTGTATTCGCACATCTTCATTGGAGTCAATACAACCTAGAGATCTCCAAATCACGAATGCCTCATTGTGGCACACCACCAATAACAATGCTAGCAAACAGTCCCTCTTAACCCTGCCTGCAGCACCTTTTTCCGTATACGCTCTAAGTTCCACATTCTTTCCCTACTACCTACATTTCATCCTCTTACAACTTTCGTCTGCCGTAAAACTCCCAATTTTGTTTTCATCACTGAAACATGGCTGAAAACCCTCGGGGTCTACAGTGGACAATATCGACGCCTGCGTGGCGACTTGATAATGACATATGATCTTGAGGAATCCGGACCATTCTTGTCGTCACCTACTAAAGATGAGTCGCAATACAACACCCAGAGGACACGAGCTAAAGCTGGCCACACAATACAGCCGGTTG